TAGCAGCGTGACAGTTGCTGTGAAAAGCGACGTTTTTCGTGAATATGCCGGACTAGCTGATGGAAATTTGGAATTGCTACTCACAAAGGGGATACGCGTGGCGAGAGGTCTAGTGAACTTGCGGAATGGATATACTGATGTGCTATTGAGGAACTTAACCAACGAGGTACAGTTGTGGCGAAGGGAGAAGCCATAGCATCACTTCATGACTACGTACAAGTCTCAGATGTTTTCACCATAGAAAAAGCACCAACAACTTCCTCAACAGTGAACAGTGTCCCCCAGAAATTAGATATTGACCAAGAGTTTTCATCTCTGCATAAAGACCAGATTGTGGAGTTGATCAAAAAATTCGCAGAGTGTTTTTCCTCTTCATCGAAAGTCGGACGTACTCCTGTAGCAAAACACAACATTGTTATCGAAGGACATGTTAGACAAATATGTCAACATCCATACTGAGGAGCTCCGAAAGAAAGGGAGGCGATAAAAAAGCAAGTACAGGAGATGCTCGACGACGAAGTCATACAGCCCTCCAAAAGTCCATGGGCATCGCTCGTAGTACTTGTGAAGAAAAAGGACAACACCATGCGGTTTCTGTGGACTACAGAAAACTCAACCTCGTCACGAAGCGGGACGTGTACCCACTCCCACGAGTCGACGATACGTTAGATAAACTGCGGAATACTCTCTTTTTTCATCGTTGGACCTAAAGAGCGGGTACTGGAAAATAGAAGTCGACGAACAAGATCGTGAGAAGACGGCGTTTGTGACATCCGACGGACTCTACGAGTTCAAAGTGCTCCTATTTGGTTTGTGTTCTGCTCCCGCTACCTTGAAGAGGATGATAGACACTGTGCTCTCCGGCCTCAAATGTCAGTCATGGCTTGTCTATCTTGATGACGTAGCAATTTTTTCCACTATGTTCGAGCAGCACGTACAGAGATTGAGAACGGTACTGGACGCTATTCGCACGGGTGCACTTACGATCAAACCCGAAACGTGCCACTTTGGATTCCGTGAGCTTCGGTTCCTCGAGCACATTTTCAGTTCTCACGGTGTCCGCCCAGACCCGGATAAGATCATTGCGGTTGAAAATTCCCTAAAGACAAGAGACAAAGAGGCTATGCGATGTTTCCTGGGGCTTTGTGCTTACTATAGGCGCTTCGTTGAAAACTTCTTCGAGATTGCGGAACCACTGACACGGCTTAAGAAGGAAAGTGTTCCATACATCTGGCAGTAAGAGCAAGAAGATGCCTTCTTTGAGTTACGACGGCGTTTGCAGTCATCTCCCATACTCGCTTATTTTGATGAAGATGCCAAAACAGACATTCATACGCACGCCAGCAACGTTGGCCTCGGTGATATTCTTGTTCAGTGGCAGAACGTGGAAGAAAAAGTTCTTGCTTACGCAAGCCGCACTCTGTCGAAAGCTGAGTATAACTATTCAGCAACAGAGAAGGAATGTCTCGCAGTTATATGGGCCATCAGTAAGTTCCGTCCCTATTTATATGGTAGACCATTCCGAGCCATCAGTGACCATCATTCGTTGTGTTGGCTTGCGAACCACAAGGATCATTCCGGAAGACTTGTTAGATGGAGCCTGCGTCTACAGGAATATGGCATCACCGTAGTCTACAAGTCTGGCCACAAGCACAACGACGCGCATTGCTTATCACGAGCACCATTCCAAACCTCGTCTCCTGAGCATGCACAAGATTCCGCATTTCTTGTAGGTGTGAATGTGTCAGAGATGGCTAATGATCAGCGAATGGGCCCAGGAATACTTCTGCTCATTCAATACCTAAAGGGGCAGCAAGTAGAAGTACCGCGAGTTTTCGTCCGTGTACTACGTTCCTACGTCCTCCGCAACAACGTTCTCTACAAAAGAAACTTCGAACACACCGGTGAAACGTTCCTGTTTCTGATACCATCGTCACTGCGAGTGGAAATTTTAGAAGCGTGTCATGATGACCCATCGGCAGGTCACTTGGGCATTAGTAAGATTTGGCAAGAATCCGCCAAAATTGATGGCGGATCGCCAAAATTGATAGATTCAGTACAGCACCTGTCAGATCATGCCGAGGATGCCAAATACGCAAAGTACCGCCCCTAAAGCCAGCAGTTCTTTTGAAACCGATAGAACCACCGAAAGTCCCATTTTAGCAGGTCAGAATGGATTTGCTAGGACCATTTCCTATGTCATCGTTCGGGAAGCGCTGGATAGTTGTTGCAACCGACTACATGACCCGGTATGCCGAGACGTCATTTCTCACAAAAGGAACGGCAAACGAAGTGGCTCAGTTTTTTGTGACCCAGATAGTGCTGCGACATGACGCACTTAAAGTCCTTATAACTGACAAAGGAACTGCGTTCACTGCCAGGCTAGTACAGTCTGTCATGAAACTAACGCACACCGACCACAGAAGAACTACAGCATATCCATCCGCGAACTAACAGTTTAACTGAAAGGCTGAACAGGACGCTAGCTGACAAGATCGCGATGTATGTGGACGTCGAGCATCGAACTTGGGACACCATATTACGGTATGCTACAATTGCATACAATACCGCAGTACAAGAGACAACCCACTTCACGCCATTTCAACGTGTTTGTGGTCGGACAGTAATGACGACATTAGACGCGAGGCTGCCTGTCAACAGCACAAATGAAGAGGACCCTGACATAAGCGAATATGTAGAAAGGCAGAAGAGGCGCGACAACTAGCATGGAACCGCATCATTCAACAGCAGGACGTCGACGCGCACCGTTACGATCTAAGACGAAGGGACGTTCGGTACTCCCCTGGAGACCAAGTGTGGGTCTGGACGCCTGTACGTGCACGTGGCCTATCAGAAAAGCTTCTGCGGCGATATTTTGTCCCTTACAGGGTTATTCGTCAGCTAGGCCCATTAAACTACGATGTTATCCCTGAAGTTCAAGTATGCCCAACCCGACGCAGGAATCTCCCGGAAGTTGTACATGTAGTACGGATGAAACCGTGCTACGACAGGAACTATTGCTTTGCTCATCTTGATTGCTTTGCTCGCCGCCTCTCTCATTGTTTGCTTAGAGCTTGGTCATAGTTTCTTTATTAGCACAATTGGGATGTCGTCAGGGCCTGTTGACGTGCTATTAGGAACCTTTTTCTCTGCCCTTTCCCACTTTCGTCCCAGTGGAGCCACTGCGCTAATTGGTTCATACTCATCTGGTATGGTGCATGCAACGCTTCCTTGGTGTTTAAAAACTTCTCTCATATATATTCCGTTGTCTCATCCTCTTCTAATCTGACCCCTTGAACTGTAGTTATAAACCTCTATGTTGTGCTTGTCTTACTACTCAGAGAATTGAGATTGATTCAAAACTTTGCAGCTGTCTTTCTATCCTTTTTGCTTACTTCCGCCATCCATTGGGCCTCCTTTTCTCTAATCTTCTCACTGATCAGATCGGATGCTTCCCTTCTGCAGCTCAAAAAGTTATCCCATTTTCTTTTGACATCATATTATGGTCCACCCCTCTCTTTAGCATACCTGTGTTCCCTGGAGGCTTCCTGACGGCTCGCTTAACTTCCTCATCCCACCAGCTCTTGTGTTTGTCTTCTTCTCCCGGTTGATTTGACTCGTACCTTAGAAACCTCTAAATCAAACGGCCGAATTATATTTGTGTACGTCCACTCTGTTTTAGTATCCTCGGTGATTGCTTTCTCAATCTCTTTAGTTGCGAGTTCTATTTGCCTTTCTGAATAAATATTGCCGTGTGGTTGCTCATATGTCTCTTTTTCATTTTACTTCTCTTTCAAAACTCAGCTTGATACATTTATGATGACAACCCAAGCTTCTGGACCTATATTTATCTATGTTCATCACCTTTAGCCAAGCCTACATCCTATGTGACATCATTGCGTAATATGTCGTCGACTGCAGCCTTCGCACCTTCCATGTTACCTACCCTTCATATTTCTCGCTGCTGTTGCAAATGACTAAATTATGCCTTTCGCACATATCCATTAGCATTCTGCCCATTGGGTCAGTATATCTATCCATATCTTCTATGTGCGCATTTATATCTCCTAATATAATTACCTCGCGCTCTTCACCCAGTCTGTACTTTTATGAATGAATGCCCCAATACCACCCGCCTTTCTGCTGCCTTCTCTTCTATTACACTATTCCCATGCACGGTCTGGATTGTTGGGTGGTTGTCCCATGTTTCTAAGGTGTGTCTCTACAAACCCATATACCATCAGCTTCTCCTCATTCGGCTGTTCTTCTATCTCTCCCCACTTCCGCCTATTCCTGTCACCATGCATGTTAATATACACTACGTCTGAATCGGCTCGGCTCTCGTGGCTACCTCGATATCTACCCCGCACTCAATGTGCCTTACTTTGGACTCTTATCTGCCTATACTACCTGTCAAAGAGTCCCCTTGGTCAAAGGTCACCCTCGTTACTAGCTATACTGGACCCCGAAGGGCCCGCGTGCCCCCCAAAAAGCTACTATGCATCCTGAAAGTCACCAATCCACCTTGTGATCTATCCTCCCATCAAAGTGTATTCTGTCTCATTGAAAACCACCCTACCTATGCACCTCTCTGTTTATTTGCACTACCTCAAAGCCTTTCTCTCGACTCATCTGCCATATCTCTGTTTGCGTTGACAACCGCTTTTTACAGGTTACCGTCTCGCACCGATATCTCCGGTACCGTGCATATCACTACCTGTACCTGAGGAGTAATGGCGCGCATGTCATCGACCCCTTTCGCCCTTGTGTAGTCCTGCCACATCTTCATTTAAGATTGAAGCGGTATGAGCCTTTGGACAGAAGATGAAGAAGCGCGAGAGCCGGGGCAGGAAAAGAAGATGCAAATAGCGTCATAACCCTTCTCGAAAGAGACATGTTTAGAACTACGCGGACAATCGTATGCGATAACGGCCCCGCGTTCAAGAGTGAAAAGCTAGTAAGATGGGCTCGAGATCACAATGTATCGATCAAGTTCTGTTTTAGTAAGTAGGCACCCACACGGGAGGCCGACAGTCTCTCTTGGGATTCCAGAAACTCTCGAGGTCTTTGTAAACCTTGGTGGTACCTTGAAGACTGTTCACAGCTTCACACATACGACACAGGTGCAGTGACGGTGAGCCGAAGTAGCCATGTTCGTTCTTCACCACGTATTTCCTCTTCCACGCGAAGTACTCATTGTAAGCACTCGCGTTGCCATTGAGGTACACCAGGTACCTGGCAAGGTCCTCCGGACCACTGAAGTCCTCTACGTGGATGAACGAGTGAGGCGGTGCCAGGCTAGCGTACTCCTCCCGGGTCGCGCCCATGACGACCGGTACGACCTCCTTGTGGTAGGCGTTCCACCACAGCTTCTCGGTGATGTACTCACGACAGTTGCTGTTCTCGAATGCCAGGTAAAACTTGTACTTCTCGGTGACGTCGCAGTCACGCGTGAAATGACCCGGACACACCTTAGTTCCACAGCCGCCATACACGTCCACCTTGATGTGCTTGGATAGCTCCTGGACGTATGGCCAGCGCAAGTTGGCCCCGCCACAGTTGCTGCCCAGGATGGCGACCAGGCCGGTCGCCATCCTGGGAAAAATAAAGCAGATTAAGATGGACGCCAGTTCCATACTGAAGCTTTAATGCTGTTCCGTTATTTTAAGTAGGAACACTACATTATTTTGGCGCAGCCGGCCATCGAAGCCATCATGTGGGTGACGTTCTTCATAGACGAGACCTCCGAGGAGATCATCTTTTCGAAGTACCAAGTTCAAGACGAAGCAGCGGTAGACCTACCTCGTGAGCTCAGCTCGGAAGAACTCGTAAACCTGGTTGTGGAAAAGGCAGCCGTAGACACTACTGAACTACGACGGAAAGGTGCTGTGAAAGTGAACTTGCGTGTGGCGACCTTCAACGACCTAGTTCTTGAACCAGCGCGTCGAAAACACTCAGGATCACGATCTTCGACGGAAGAGGTGAGCCTCGTTTTGAAAGCTTTTCAGCTGCAACAGGAACAGATGCTTCAACAAAACCAAATAATGACATCTCTTATAAGCTCTCTGAATGCTGAGAGACCGACACCTAATTTCGTAGAACCTGATGCTTTCGACGGTGTGTCTTCAAATCCAGAAAGTTGGCTTGATTTCTACGAATATGCCGCTGGAAAAAACAAGTGGCTCTCTGATGAGGCTAAAATCACCAACATGCGCGTTTACTTGAGAGGTGTTGCGCGAAAGTGGTATGAAACATGCATTCTGGAAGACAGTGACGACTCTTGGAGCCAGTGGAGGAAAAAGTTTTTGACTGCATTCCGAAGCAATCCAGTAGAAAGATGGAACACGGCGCTTAATTTCAAGTCTGAGCAAAGCTGCCTTGTCGAGTACTTCTTTGAGAAACGCCGTCTTTTAAAGCTGGCGGAGCCTTTGCTTCCATCTACGGCCGTAGTTGCCTTAATAATGCATGGATTGCACACTAACGTGTTGAAGCAAGTGCAAATACTGTCACCAAAGACTCTAGATGACCTCCTCGCGTGTCTTCAGAACATACCATCAGCTTCGGAAACAAGCATAACCGCCGAGTCAAGCAGCTGTTTCAGTCGGAGTAAATCGGACTGGTCAAGCCGCGCTCAGCGAGAACCGAGCCACCTCGCAACTCGCACAGATAACTTGCCCTGGCGTGTTCCAAGAGGTCGAGTGAATAATATCGACACTGAAGCTCAGGAGTATTCGACAGAAAAAAAACTAATAAACGAGGGTGATCAGTCCCACCCGATGACTCCAAATGAGACTGTTTATTTAAGTTGCTCTAGCCTACTTCACATTCCCGTCAAAGTAGGAAACAAACATATGATGGCTCTGGTAGACAGCGGTGCTTCTGTGTCCATTATAAATGCCAAGCTGGTGGATGCAAATCGCTTGCATAGTGGAAGAATTCTACGAGTACAAGGCTATGATGGAAAAGTAACGTTGCATGATCAGTGGGCCTTGGTAAACATCGAGTTCCAGGGTCAGCAAATAGAGAGCGAAGTGTTGGTGATAGAGGGGGTAACGTACGACTTTTTGCTATCAAGACCAGATATAAAGAAACTAAAGATCAACGTGTACTGGGACGATGTGGTTCTAGTAGAAGGAGTAGCAAGGAACGAGACAAATCAGGGTAGACAAGATAATCTACGAGTTGTCAAGTGCGCGGAGGATATCGCAACGACCTACCCTGAACTTGTATGCATAGGAAGCTATCCTCAGGCGATGAAGTCCCACAAGGTTCCTTTCGAACTCGCTGACAAGACCGTCATCCGGAAAGCACCTTACAATATGTCAAGGGAGCGAAAGATGTGGCTCAAGAAAGAGTTGCAGGAGATGCTAGATGCTGATATCATACGACCTTCGGTATCACCCTTCGCTTCTCCCATAACGATCGCACCGAAAGAAGACGGAACCTTCAGATTATGCACCGACTACAGGGTTCTCAATCGTCAGACAGAACTCATACCATTTCCTATGCCGAAGATCGACACAATTATAGATGAGACCGGGGGTTGCCGACATTTTTCCCGCATCGATTTATGCAAAGGTTTCTGGCAGATCCCACTAACCGAAGAAACAAAAATGTACACCGCTTTTATCACGCCATTCGATCTCTACGAATACAACCGGCTCCCTTTCGGTTGGAAAAACTCGCCAGCGTGGTTCCAGAAGATCATGAACGACGTCCTAAAGCCATTCCTTGGTGTTTTTTGTAATGTGTACATAGACGACATTATAGTCTTCTCCAAAACAGAGGCTGAGCATCAGGACCATCTGTCTCAGGTGTTAAACGCCTTGAGCTTGGCACATCTCAAGGTTAATTTTAAGAAGAGTGTATTCTTTCAACAAAAAGTGGTGTTTCTTGGAAGAGTCTTCGATGGGAACACCAAAAGCACAAAACAAGAGTCCGTCGAGAAGATCTCCCAGTTGAAGAAACCATATGACGTCCATTCACTGCGTGTGTTTTTGGGATTGGCAGGACATTTCCGATCTTTCATAAAGGACTTTGCTGTCAAAACTAGATGCCTCACGCGCTTAACGCAGAAAGAAGTTCCCTTTGAATGGAGTGACGAATGTGAGAGAGTCTACCGTGACTTGGTGCACAGAATTTCTTCTGACCCAGTTCTGCGTATACCAGACTTCACTTTACCCTTTGAATTGAACACTGACGCCTCACATTGTGGGACTGGTGCAGTGTTGTATCAAAAATGTATTGAAGCATCTGGCCGAGAAAAGCGACACGTAGTCGGTTACTACAGTTACACTTTCAAGCCGTCTGAAACAAACTACACTACTACGGAAAAAGAAGCACTGGCGGTTCTGAAGGCCGTTGACTACTTCCGCACGTACCTGGAAGGTACGAAGTTCACTTTGTTCACCGATCACCAGGCACTCACTCATCTCTTGAATATGACCCAAACTAAAGGGCGTATCGCCAGATGGGTGAATTACTTGCAGCAATTTGACTTTACCATCTCGCACCGACCAGGACCGCTTTTAACCGATGCAGATGCTCTATCAAGATTGATGGTACAAAACAACACAGAAAAATCTGAAGAAATCAATGAAGTGAAGCTGTGGGAAGGCTCAGAACAACTGGTTTTTACTGAAGGTCGGTATCAAGTCCCACCAACTCTTGTTTCCAAAGTGCTTTACTTGTACCACGATAGCCCAGAATCTGGAGGACACGACGGCTTTTGGCGTACCTACAACAAGTTGGTCAAGAGGTTTACGTGGCCTCACATGAAGAAAGACGTTAGTCAGTACGTTCGTTCATGCCATGTGTGTCAAGTACACAAAGTCAAGTATAAACAGCCTACGGACACCATGATACTACCTTGCCACTCGAACGTGCCTTTTGAAGTAGTTCACCTGGATTTCGCCGAACTTAACAAGAAACGGGAAGGAGTCAGAAAAACGCAAGCTTTTCTGCTGGCCATAGATGAATGCACCAGGATGGTCGCGGCACGAGCAGGAAAAGAAGATGCAAATAGCGTCATAACCCTTCTCGAAAGAGACATGTTTAGAACTACGCGGACAATCGTATGCGATAACGGCCCCGCGTTCAAGAGTGAAAAGCTAGTAAGATGGGCTCGAGATCACAATGTATCGATCAAGTTCTGTGCGCCATACCATCCTGCGGCGAATGGGCTTGCAGAACGTGCCATACGGGACGTGAAACAATACATCAAGATGTACGATAGTTTTCCTGGGGGATGGAAATGTTCTTTAGAAGCAGCCGTAAAACATCATAACCGATCCTACACAAGTGGCTTGGGGTGCAGTCCACAGTACGCTTCTACAGGAGAGACCCCTATTCTGCAGGCAGACCGTGAGTTGGGACTCTTGGAAAACCTCAAGATTGTCGAGGAGAGGCAACAAAAATCACAGGAGGAGAGGTACCGAAAACGAATGAAAAAGAATTTCGACAAGAGGCATCGAGCAGACATGCCAGACATTCAAGTCACCGACCTCGTACTAGTGAGAAAAGGAATAAGAGATTCCAGTGCCAAATTTTATGGGCCTTACTCTGTGACCAAGACAGCCACCCAGAACGGAATTTTGAAGACTGTCTGGTACACTGGTGAACGTGGATCTGTTGAATGTGCTTCAATTGGGAATGTCTTCAAGTATTACCCCAGGAGGGGTAATTAAAAGAAAGCGGGAAGGGTGAAGCGGTATGAGCCTTTGGACAGAAGATGAAGAAGCGCGAGAGCCGGGGCAGGAAAGAAGAGGGGGATGAAGGGAAAAATAAAGCAGATTAAGATGGACGCCAGTTCCATACTGAAGCTTTAATGCTGTTCCGTTATTTTAAGTAGGAACACTACAAAGATATCGTTTGAACCGCCCGCCATTATGACGAGGTTTCGTCCATCAGTTTTAGTTTTGAGTTTTGCGCTCGCTTGCCTCATGACTGCTTCCAGCTTACGTCCTGGGAACGTCCCTACTAAACCCCTCTTGTCACTCTTACCCTCTCTTTGATTGCTTCTGTGCATCGATTCAAATTTGAGTCTTCGGCAATTATCACGTGCTGTGACTTTTCAGCTGGAGTGTCCTGCACCTGCAGGTTACTTGCACCTGTGACGCCGGCTGCTTTGTTCCCTCCTTACCCCACCACTACTCCGCTGAAGCTAGGTTTTGCGACCATTGAACTGGCTGAACCTATTTTTTTCGAACCCTTTTGCTCTTTCTTCTCCGCCATTCTGGGTGCCCGTGCCCCACTGTTCTTTTCTTCGGCCGCTTCTTTGTTCACCTTTGCTAGTGCCTCCTCGACGGACCTGAGCCTTTCTCCCATAACCCTCGTTTTTTTCTTGCACTGTCGCCAACGCAGCCTTTAGCTCGGTGATTCTCATCAGCAGTTCACTCAGGGCAACCATAATTTTCCCCATTTTTACTAGACCTCTCATTCCCTACACTTAACGTCAGCCTCCTCTGCATTCCCGTCTGCACTAGCCTCAATTTTCAAACCCACCCTACATCCTGAAAAAATTATTCTTTTTAACCATGTCTTTTTGACACCAATTGTCTAATTGAATTGTCCCATTCGATAAATACAAAACACG